TTCAGTATGGTAGTAAAATGTGTGTGCTAATTTATTTTGTGGCGAATTATGAACAAATTAAAAATTGTGGCATAATTCTTTTCTTTTGGGTCGTGCCTGGAAGCACGAGTTGGGGCTAGACTAGGCCTGAAGAACTAGGCCTTGGGCTAGTACCAATGCTTTAGATTCGTGGATATAGTTTTAGATATTGTTTGGGCGGTTGGGCCAATATTTCAGGCATTTTATGAATTTACACCTTTTTAGTCGCACTATTATGCAATGGTAAAAATGTACAAAGGTCGGCAACGCCACGGAAAAGAAGAGATGCAAACGGAAGCTTGGGCAGGAATAGTATATGACCATATTACAAAAAAAACATTAGATGATTGACACAAATTTACCAGCACTTTCGTGCCAAATAGTTCGTGCCAAGTTGTTTTTGGCACGAATTTGGCATATCTCTGCCAAAACCTCAGCCAATTTCAAAAAATCCTTGTCAAAAATTTCTGCCAATCTGGTGATCTTTTTGTAGTAATATAACGGAAGTGGTAATATGCATAATTGCTATCAAAATCTTAGTTATATTTCAATTTTTACTGATGTTACACGAGTTAAGCTAACTTCTGTCAATCCAATAAATTTCCAAATGTTACTTGATATTATAAAACTTGAGTATTTACGTTATTCCATCTACTAGACATAAGGTTTACACAAAATGATGGAATTCTAATTCTATTTGTACAGATTGAACATTCTAAATCCTAAATCAGCAAGTGTTCGCATTTTATTGTAAAAGTTTAATTATTTAACCACTTTGTATTCATGAACATATAAGACATTAAGATAAATTTAACAAATTGAAATATCTCATCCTAATTTATTTAAATTCTATTTCAATCTAATTAAGATATACTGCGTATATATTTAATTTCAAGAACATATATAGTACTAAGCGGGCAATATATGCATTTAATCCCTTGTAATAATAATAATAATAAACTAATGAGAACAAAGACGGGACATTGATTACAATCAAGATTAGATATATATACATACCACTTAGACCTCACAATAGTCATGCGATTAGGGCATTAAGCATTAAATCGACAACTTCAAAGTAGCAACTACAATCCTAATATCATGCTTCAAGCTTTAATTTACTAGAAACTTTCCAAAAACTCATTTGGTAATCTCATCTTACAAAGCTAAACGTAGGAAAACGATATACGTAGTACAATAAATCAAAAATCAAATAGTGGGATTCGAAAAAGTATAACGGGAAGACGCAAAATAACTTTGGGGAAGTAGAAATAATCTACTAACTACCCTAGCGGCCTAGCCATCGATAATTAAGAATTAAAGCACAAGTCACATGAGTCGTTACCATCAATTGAAAAGTACATGCATCCCAAATTATGCCCGATCCATCTCAAATTAAAAATGTCTCAAATTAAAAAATTTCTATATTTTCTATGTCGAACAATTAAGAAAAAAGTTATCAGATTTTTTTTTTCTATAGTCAATCCTCACCTTGTTTTTTTGAGAAACTTAATTAATTGCGGAGTATCTTTTACTAATACGGTCATACGGAAAGAAGTTTTTCTAAATTAAAAGGGTGTTCTAGTTTTCTCCAAAATATTACGTAGTAGTAGTGTATGTGTGCATATATTAAACAATTCTAAATTATGTATAAGGAAAACTGTCAATTTGATCTCCGTAATATCATGAAAAAGTCAATTAGGCCATTGTATTTTGATAAAAATCAATCAAACCCTCAAACTTCAGTTGAGTCTATTTGCAGGTTACTTGTCATGTAGCAGGTCACTCGCTGATGTACCACACACGTGACAACCTAATCAACAGTGAATTTGTTGACGTGGCGTACATGCATAAGTCTAGTCAGCCATTTTTCGATGATGTGGCACACACATGGACTGCTACATGTGCGCATGGACGGATTTAGGGGGTGGGGGGTGGGCGTGGGGGGCGCCCGCCCCCTCTGGACTTTCAAATTTTTCTACTATATATGTAGTATTTTCATAAAAATTTCATACTTTAATTAGATGTATATGTTTTCGCCCCCCTTAACTATTAGTTTTCAAAGTTAATATATAGTCTCACATAGTGTAATACTTAATTGGGGATTTAAAAGAAGTAAAATCTAAAATAATTTTGATAGTTTAAGACTTAGGATGCCTATTATATAAAAATTCCTAGCTTTGTAATATTTAATTATATTTATTATATAATTAGTACTAAATTTTGTAAAAGATCGAATGATATTAAATACGAGACACACTAGTTAAACAGTTTTTAGATCATGTGAAGTGAATCCAAGATATAAATGTTTGTTGACATTAAATTATACAATTCATTTAGTTTTTACTTTCTAAAAGCAAATTATTGCATAAATAATAAACTTTAACGTATTTTAGCATTAATACAAATATAATATGCATTATATATATGAATTAACAATACTACGTATAACATTATTCTAAAAATAATAATCTCATGCATACTATTGTAATATTAAGAAAACCTATCATGAGCCATGAACACTCTCCTTGGTAGACAAAAACTACAATTCAAAAATCTATTCTTTATTCAGATAAGATTCATGGGGTTAAACAAGACATAAGTTATTTAAAATGCATTGATTGATGTGTACCATTTAATTTTTTTACCTTCAAATAAATTGATGTTATATATCCTTTTTTATTTGCAAATAAATTTCCTTTGATTTGCAATTTATTATGCTTTAATATATCCATACTTTTTTCAAGAGCATTTACGGTTACAAAATTTAAAGTTATTTTTCCATTCTCTAAACTTAGAATGTAATAGATTTAAACGTCATAGTGTATGTACTAATGAATTCTTTTAAGTACAAAATTAGCCGTGGAGCCCTACAATAGTGAAAAAAAATTCGTCACGTTGCATTAGCGAAAAAATTTGCCCCGCTACATTAGCGGAAAAAAACTTACCCCGCCACACTAGCGAAAAAATTTTGCCTCTTACACAAACGAAAAAATTTCGCCTCACCTGACTCGAAATTCTGGATCCGTCCCTGCATGTGCGCCACGACAGCAAGTGACCTGCTACATGATAAGTAACCTGCAAATAGACACAATTGAACGTTTTTATAAAGTTCAAGAATTTGATTGTTTTTTTTTAAAGTATGAGAACCCAATTGACTTTTTCGTGATAATACGAGAACCAAATTGATAGTTTTGCTTATGTGTATAATAAAAATAAAAGTTTCAATGTTCCAATGAAAGACAAAATGCAGCAGTAGACATGCATGCACATTTACAAAGCGCGGCTATTCTATTGCCGGAAAGGAGATTCAAAATCATATCTTTTCCCACAAATGATTCGCAGGCGGTTAATTTCGTTACACACGGCGTATGCCCAAGTGATGGCCGTTATTATATTCCAAATGTTTTTTCGTTTTCAGAATTTGATTCTTTCAAGATATATATGCCCTACAGAACTATCAAAATATATAGAATTGAGTACTTGATGATATTTTCTCCTTGTCGATCACCTTTTTTTTGTCTTATCTTTCGAATATGGTCTACCTTAGAGTACTTATCATTTAAGAGGTCGATCTGGTCATATTCTTATTACTACCTTCGTTTCACTAACATAAGGAAATGAAGAGGTGGTGTGATTATTAAGAAAAATGGTTTTATGTTATTGATATTGAATTGATAAAATAAGAATAAAGTAATAATATAATGATTTAGAACCAAATAACTAGACAAACTTTACCGAATCTGATATGAGAAAATTTTAGTGAAGTAAACCGAAGAAGAAATATGAGACAATTTTTGTTGGACGGAGAGAGTATATTACAAGCACACTATCAAATTACACAAATTAGGTTCCAAATAAATGTGTTAATATCTTTTGTCAAGTATAATGGGGCACGACCGCACGAGGAGTAGCTTGAACATTTGTACGAGCTTGAAAAAACAGGCAAAGAAAACAAAAGTTAAAATTTAAGAATTGAAAATGGTAACAAAGAAATAGACAAAAATTTAATTTAAAAATAGACGAGCCTTACTCTGATGTAATTAAGTATTTAGAGTGTATACCGAAATTTGTAACTCATACCATATACCATACCGAAATTTAGGAATGGATTGATTGTACTCCGTACATCTTTACCGCGCTAGATGTTCATGCATATATACATATATTAACTCCTAATATGTACACATATATGCCACTCAACTTTGGGTGAAAAATTAGAATAGTAAGAATTGTGTGGTTGAGGTTTGTGCAGTGCAGAGAAAATGAACAGAAACATAATTCATTGCTTTAAAATGAGATTGATAATTTTTTTTGGGACAAACAAAAAAAGAAAATTGGCAAAGTCCAATGGAACGGAGGGAGTACAATATAATACGTAGTAACGTACTTCAATATTTCAAATTATCATCAGATCGGGAATCCTAAATAGTAACATTATATGTAATTAACGAGTCTTAAATTTAAATGTCTTTAGGTATGTTTGAGAGTTGGAAAGGGAAGAGAATGTTCTGAAGGTTTTGAAGGGTTAAAAAGCCCTCCAAAACCATCCCCTTCATATTTTTAAACTCGCAAACATGAAATTAAAGAGAGGGCTATATACCCTTTTTACAAATAACGTGGGATGAAAGTAAAAAAGATCATTATAACACAACATTTATTTTTGTTCGATCAACAAGATAAATGTTAACAATTATAACCCCCCAAAAAGAAAAAGAAACATGTAAGACAGGTTCACAAACAATAAATGGCCTGGTGAAATGATAGATGAGGAGATGAATTAGGAAAATAAAAAAGTTGTGAATTTAATTTTAGGAAAATGTTCATAGTTTTGAGCAATAAAAAAAGTATATGTTACATAATAGGACAAAAGGAGTACTAAGATTCATCAAAAAAAAAAGTTGGAAAATCAATCACACGCTATCCCTTGGCTTGTACGTGTATGGATTTATCTATAAAACGGGATAACAACTTCATAACTTTACATGTATATCACCATACTCACAAATCTTGAGAACAAATACATATATACATATATATTAATTAGTATATAAAGCAGTCTTAGTTCAATTCCGAGCTAAGTATAATATACGTATATATATTGAGCAATTAAAAATGGATGTCAACTCAAGAAGGCAAGTCTCTGATGAAGTTTACTCAAATGATGGTCAAAGGAAGCCCAACAAATACGGACTAGTTCATTTTGAAGGCGGCGAGAGGAGGAACTTCACCCGGCTCTACCCTCACACAGACGGCTCAGATAGGTACTTGGTGAGCATAGAAAGGGTGGTTCGGGTTATCCGATCCGAACCACCCGAAATTAACAAGCCGCCAGCTCCGGCCCTGATCCTGGAGGACGCTGACGATGAGAGCCTTGAGACGGTAAAAAAGTTCTACGACCAACTCAGTTGGGAACAAGACGAATACCGCAGGCCGAAACCCGCCGCCATTACGAATGGCCCGCCAACGCAAGCCAACAACCCCCAGCTGCCGCCACAGCAGAAGCTGGCGGCAGCTAAACCTATCACCCCCGCCGCGAGCAGTGATCCTGCCGCAGGAAGACCGAGAAGGCCACTACTGAGCGATGGATGGCAGAAGAGATATCCGAAACCGACAGACGAGCCGATCATTACCCCGAAAGAGCAAGATGCTGACCATGTGGTGGCTAAGCTAATGGAGGAGTTCAATAAGAATAGGAGCAGCGGGTTTATTAGCTATAGTAGAGAGATGATCCCTAACCCTAACCCTAACCCTAACCCTAACCCTCCTCCCCAAGAGATGGTGAGGTACTACAAGCAAGGAGTGTCAACGGGTGAGTGGAATAGTCAACGGAAGGCTCCAGTCATAATGGACAGCAATGAGGCCCTGACTAAGTTCGCTGGTGCCTACAAGGAATCCAACTATATACGATAGTATGATGGATTTAAACATATCTAACTTCTAATTTAAAGTTTTACTCTAAAATCCGCTAGGTTAGAGTGTTTGGCGTGAAAGTACGTAACTAGCTAGACGCCCATACACGTTTGTGGCGTACGTGTAAGTATTATTACCTAGATAAATCCACCCTAAGGTTACTTAGGAAGTTATGATGAATGTATGATGACATTATCAAATAATAAGTAACAATATATGTGTGTGATAGTAAAAAATAACCTTGACACTACACTAAGGGTTTATGTCTATCAAACACGCCACATACAACCACAACAACTCAGATGATGATCGACCTTTAATTTGAATTGAATGAGTTAATTCGTCCTCAACTAGTGCACAAAAAGTAGGATCCAATTGAATTGCTAATCTTTATCTTTCACTAACCAAATCTGACTCTGTCACATGATTTTATTCCGAATGGGAATTGTTTCCCTTACCTGGCTCACTATCTTTATCCTTTGGGCCTTTGTTGAACCATCGAACATCAACTTCTTCCTTTCAGGTGATTTCGTTGGTTTACCAACAGATTCAATTCGATCAAACCCTCTAAATCTACGAGATAGCCAAACTAATATATATATATATATATATATCCCCTATTCTTACATATATGGGCTTGGTCACTATTAAATCTCATAAGTTAAAAATTAATTCCCATAATTAATTTTCAAATATTTGCTTATCAATAAGTTGTTATCAATTTACCAAAGAAATATTGCTATAACCTCATGTTGCGACCGTTTTATGCATGTGCTTCTATTTCTTCTTCTTTTGGTTTGGGGAATTTTTGTAACTTGATTATAAACATAATCTTATACTTTTTCCTATTGGTTGAGAAAAATATAAGACACCGTCTCAAAATTACACATTACTAGTAACATATAGTGGGTTTTTTTAAATACGAAGTACGTGTACATTAATTCCGAAACATAATTTTAAGATATAAACTCAAGAGATGCCGCAAGCTAAGCTGCTAAGACCTAGTTTTTAAACTCGAACTTCTATATTACACACGGTATGCGACTTCTCAAAACATTGCACTATATATTACGCGTAGCTTTCTAAAATTTAAAACTCCACATAATCATAAGCAGGCCAGTTATATTAAGCGGTTAGCCATTTGACATGTAGCCTTCTTGTTTTCTTTCTTTCGTTGTTTTTTATGTGAATGATGACATACTTTTCTCATTACCTAATATAAACTTATATTAGGTAATTTTCTCAAATTTTGTCTACAATTACATCTTTGCAAATGTAATACAAAGTATAAATTGATTTTCTTTTTATATATACTTGTACATTTAAAACTTAAACTAAGTAAAAAAAACTTAAACTAAGTCTAATAAAATAATATTAATAATGTACGTAGTATTTGTTACTTGTGAAATATGTGACTAAGTTATATTATATGTTGAAAGGTTCTCCCCAAATTATGAAGTTTGGGGTCACACAACAACTTAGGACATGTTTACTTCATTGTGTAGTAAACGGTGCTTATCAAACTATGTCTTACTAAGCCACTGCTTACCAACAAGTGTTTATTAAATTTGCGTTTACATCATCAGGCTGAAAAGAGCTAGGTTTATATTTTAAAAGACAAAAATAACCTTAAAACATATTTCATTATATTTCATCCGTCCAGCTCTATCAATGAGAGGCAAACCAGCCGTTCCTCTAAATTGGTTAGAAAGTAGCAAAGAAATCAACATATATAAGTAGCAGTAGCACATACAAAGCATATAGCGAAGAGGTAGAAGCAAATAATAGGACAATTTTACAACAACATCATTAATCATCCGTCGGAGAACCAGTGATGTAGAATGTGAACCCATTTTCTCCGGCATCTCTGTCAAACCCAACGTAATCCAAGAAATCGAAATAAGGACAAATCACAACCTAAATAAATCTTGAGAAAACTTGAGAAAAAGAAGTGTAGAACCTCTGATGGCTGCGACATAATAAAGAAGCGTTGAGAGGAAGATGGGCTTTCTGAAACGTATTTCTGAGATATGCTTCTGCGCTTGTGAGAGATGGGATAGCGATGTGAATAAAATTTTGAACGAGAGAAACAAGGGCCACGATGGTCAATAAAAATAGCTTAAGTTGTCGCTTAATAAAACATGGGGGGAGGGTGAGTTTAGTAAGCGGCATTTTAAGAGGGTAGTCCGTTTACTAAGCACGTTTTAAGCGTCCAACTAGTTTACTTCATCCACCTTTACGCTAACGGTATCATAATCAGCCAAGTAAACATGTCTTAGATTCATCATTCAACAAACAGATGTCAATTATTCTTTCACTCTATTGATTTGTTGTATCAGGTATCATCACTTTTACTAATTTATCATGCAACACCATCACGCATTTGATAAGCCAGTTAGAATCACTTTTACTAATTTATCATGCAGAACCATCACGCATTTGATAAGCCAGTTAGAATCTTTAGGCTCTGTCTGCACACCCAACTTGGAAGTGCTTTTAATTTTTTTAAATGATTTTGATAAAAAGTGACTAATAGTAAAAGTTAATAGTGTTTGAGAAAAGTGATTTTGAAAAGTAAAAATTGGTGGTGTTTGGTAAAATAAGTGTTTTTTGTGTAATAGAAAAAATAAAAAACAGATTCTAGCTTTTAAGTAATTCATTTAAGTAAAAATTGTCATTTGAAAATATCTTTTTTAGCTTTTTTAAACTAAAAGCTGAGAAATGCTTTTTTAGTTGGATTTGCAAACAGAGCCTCAATTAGGGAGACGGGGAGAAAGATGAGTCTTCTGCATTGGTTGGGCCTAAATTCTTTATGAGGAAGTTTAGATCGCAATTTTCTATTTCAATCATAGTTGTTACGGCGGGGTTTTGCGGCGCGGCGCCTCTGGGCCGCCACACCGCCATGGCGACATGGCGCCCGTTGTGGCGACATCGCGGCGATAAGTCGACATGAGTAATAATAAATCCATAATATGTTTTATATACTAAATTGCCTACATGTAACACATATAGCCAACCAACACTCTTAATGAAGTTGTAAAACATGTACATAAGAACAACATAATCCATAAGACCATAGTTTCATTGGTACTTTTTTCTGGATCAGCCAAGTTAGGCAGTAAGCAATATTTTTCAAAATTAGTAATCTATTAAATATAAATTAAAAAAAAGTGAAAGTCACTAACAATTAAAAATAACTTACTACATGTAATACAACATAGTTGCACAACGTAAATTTCAGCATAAATTCAAGGCACCAATAAAATTATTCAATATAAAAATATAAAAATATAAAAAAAGAAACTGAAATTTGTTATCATACAATAGAAAGAAAGAATATAAAGCAATTAATACCTACTGGAGCAATGAAAAACGAAATATGAAAAATAGATACCACTACAATAGACATAAAGGAAAATTCTGGAGCAAAAAAACAAGTCTAAACCTAAATTAAAAATTGTGCTAAGGGAATTTGCAAAATACTTAAGCAAACAAACACTAATACGCAGACCGCAGTACATAATTGATGCCTGTCCCAAAAATGCACCGCCCGATTTAAGACTAGATGCACGCCCAACGACCTGGCTGACGAGTCACAACTCAGCGTTTGGGATGGCGATGACGAGTCACAACTCAGCGTTTGGGATGGCAAGGACTTTAGAGTCACCGATTTGCTAGATGGGTTAACTTTTTTTTTTCTAATTGGGTTTTGCTTTGGGCCTATTCGTAATTATTGGGTAATGCCTTGCGTCGTTGTCTAGCGTCTATGGCTTCTTTCGACTCTGTAGCGACGATGCGGCAACGCCTAATGTCTTGTGGCGAGTCGAGCTTCCATGGCGACCTTGCCTGGGCACCACGACGCCAAGGCGACGACATGGCAACGATGCAGCGACGCCGTAATTACTATGATTTCAATAGAGTATTAAATTTTAAGCTTAAAAAACATTCTTTCAAATATTTTCCTGTTTCATACTCCGTATCTTATATGATTATATCGGCCTAAGACAACAATAAGTTACAATAGTATCGTTTACCCAAGGCTACACAACGATGATAGTTGATACGGACATCAATCAATTAACAGACATCAAAGTAATCACAAGAAAAAATGGATAAAGAATATAATATCTTATCTTACAAAAAAAACTCATCCTACAGAAAAACCTTTTCTAAGAATCTAAGATATGATTCTCTATATAACTACTTTTCCCAAGCTTTGTAGAACAAACTTCACAAAGAACAAACTACAAAACACAGTACTCTCCAGCGCAATTTCAGAACAGAACCTTACATATTAACTATATATTGTCATATTGATGACCGTCCTTCTCTTGGACTACGAAGAAGTGCAAAACAGTGCACAGAGGAATCAGCTTCTGGTGATGCTTCGTCCATTAAAAGAACAAAGACAACATGATCATAAGCACATTGTCCAATTCTCCTTCAAGATTGTGATTCATCACACTCCATCTGAATATCTACAACTATCTGTGCCAATACAACTTTTAATTTTGCCAAGGTACAACGGTGAAAGGGTAATGTAGTCAGACCAATCTAGTTCAGTAACTTCCATATAATGAAACAAGACCCTCCCCTGAGAAGAGTAAATGAAACTGCAACTCATAGCAAGCTCTTGTTATTCCTTGAACCTCCTAAACTCAAACCAAATCTCGTAATGGTTGAAAAGTAAACTATCATGAGTGTGCTTCCCAAGGTACTCAAGGCCGATATTACCTAATCTTTTTGTACATTCGTCTCCTCCTAGTCTCGAACAGAACTTTATATTGTGGGAGACAAATATACGACCTCCCAATGGTTTTAATTTACCAGCAAGCCTCTCTAACCCAACCCAAACAAGCTTGTCTGGAATATGCAGGAATACAGCACTTGCGTATATCAAATCATACATAGTTTCAGATCCAAACTTACTAAACTCCATGTCTTCACCTCTTAAAATGAGAGGACGCTTAGATAATAACCCTTGGGATGGAAGCTCATACCTCAATGCAGCCATCAAGGACAGCTCATCTCTTTCCAGACAGTTGTACTTCTCTGAATTCAAGTACCGTATAAAATGCAGCCCAACACGAAGGGTCCCACATCCAATTTCCAACACTTTAGAGTTTGGAGATAGATGGACAGATTTTGCGAGAAATTCAAACACATCTCTCCCTCCTGCCCAAGGCTCCCCGTAATTGCTGTGGTGTTCTTCTACAAGGAGCTCACCTGGACAAGGGAGAGCAGTGTGATTATTTGCTTCCTCTCCTTCATAATGTGATATGCCCTTGAACCTAAAAACATAATAGTCACCCACAATTATTGAAAATCATATAAACTTCTGATTGAAAAAATATGAAACAAAAATTATACCACCCCTGTCCCTTTCTAGTTAGCCATCTTTCACTTTTCTAGTCAATGAGGGTCAACTTTGATCAATCATTTCAATTAGTATACTTTTGCGAAATTATACATTTTATACTTTTATTATATTATATTACTATGTTCAATATAAAACACTTTCATATCATTTTCATATTATGAATACCTTCCGCATATAAATATACTGATGGTCAAAGTTTACTATTATTGACCAGAAAAGTCAAAATGCCTAAGTAAATAGGGACGTATGGAATAACAATTTTACATAAACTGGAGAACTAAAAAAGTGAAAGGATAGTCCTCGATCCATAACAGAAAGTCAAAATTATTTGATTATGTAGAGATTTAAAGCTAAGAGGCTGAGTCTACCAATGTGATTATGTAGGTGAACTTACTGACCTTTCACACAGTCTAGCATGTGTGACTGGCTAATTAGTCACCAAGGATCTATTTATCTGGTTGATTTACAAAGAAACTTGAACTACTATGCCATAACTCAAGAGTAAGTCATTCTTAAAGGCATTTCCATTTGATAAAATATTTAAGAAAACAAACAAGCAGATAAACAAATCAGGAATACAAGAAAACATGCATGATGGGAATTCCGGAATAGAAAAGTTAATAAAATAGCTTAACAGCTTCTTAGAACATTGATTTTCATATCACGTGCTTGTTATAGCAGTAGCACAATAAGTGTAGTTAATAGCCTTCGGAAGAAACATATAGTTTCCTCCAGCTCAGATGCTACCAACATGGTTATCTAGGTGAACTTACTGACCATTCACACAGTTTATAATGTATGACTGGCTAATTAGTCACCGAACTTTCTTTTGAATGGCTAATTATAAACAAACTTCTACAACTTGAAAATAGCTCAGAACAGACTATTTCTTAAGTTCATCACAAATTCACTAAAGTGAACATTAGATTTAAAAGAAAACACATCAAATCCCATATTGAAGTGCTAATAACACATTGAAATTGAATCACGATTTCATTATAGGTCTGCTATCCGAAAGCTTCCAGCAATATAGACCCCCTTTTTTGAAAAAAAAGAAAACACCTTTACTTAAAATAACCAAAAAAATCCAATCGTTGTAAATTACAACAATTAACCCGACAAACAACCAAAGAAAGAAACCAAGAGCTCATAAAGGGATGAATGATGGATTGATGGGTATTCGAGAATAGCAAAGAGAAATCCAATAGCTTAATAACTTTTTATAATTAGATTTTCACATTAACTTGTTCATTAAAGAACACAAATGTAGTTAGTAGCCTTTAAAAGAAACATATAGTTCCTACCACTCAGAGGCTACCAACGCAATCATCTAGGTGAACTTACTGACCATTCACACAGTTAGCATGTGTGACTGGCTAATTAGTCACCAAAGTTTTCTTTAAATGGGAAACTAATTAACAAATTTAAGTTACTTTAAAAATATATTAGAACAATTGAGAAAAAGACGATGGTTGTGAATTAAAATACATTATTCAACAAACAACCCAACAAAAAACGAATGTAGGAAGGAATGCATGACGGGTATTCGTATTCCAAAATATCAAAGTTAATACCAATATTGTTACAATATAATAGACTTTGATTTTCACAATAACATGTTCATTATAAAACACTAATGTAGTTAATAGCCTTTAGAAGGGACATATCATACCTTCCAATTGAGAGGCTACCAACACGATCATCTAGGTGAACTTACTGACCATTCACACAGTTAGCATGCGTGACTGGCTAATTAGTCACCAGGTTGTCCTTTAAATGGCTAATCTATTAACAAATTCCAACTACTCTAAAGTTGCTCAAAACTGACTCATTTTTAAAGGCATCACAATTGCTAACAAGAATGTTAGAATTCAAAACTAATCTGAATCACAGCTTAAACTTCCAATGAATTGGCATTTCTTTAAAGGCCCACCATCCAAAAGTGAGTGGATAAGAAAAACTGAACACCATGACTCCAAATAACACAAAGGCTGAAGGCTGCAAACAAAATTATTTAATTCACCAAACAACCAGACACGCAAAATCAGTAATCTAAGATTTGATATAGATATGAAAAGTTGACACAAAATAGTGTTTTAGCTGAAGAAGCAGAGAGCTCTTATGCGACAAGTTTTTTCAGTCCATTGCCTTTTCATAAACTTTCTTTCCCCCCTTCCGGGCTGTGTCTAATCATTCTATGTTGAGTATTAATTACCACAAATTAAGATCTCTTCATTCTAAGTAGCTCGAGTCACTCCGTGTACTACAACTACTATCTACCGCTTCTAAAACGAAGTTAAAATATAAGATTGACAAGAAGCTACTCAGTGATTGATTTACATTCAAAGGCTGTGATAGTGATTAGACTTTTAAGAAGAAAACCATTCATGAATGCATTCTCTTTGTGCAGAGGAAGATAAATGCTACATAAATTATAAACTCCCTGGTGTAGTGAAGTATATTACATACAAGAAGAAAAGTATATGAAGGAGTTTATAAGAGATCATACTGAAGAAGATCCTGGAGCTGTTGCTCGCGAGTGCGAGGGTTAATCCCTTTACGGAGCACATTTTGCCTCATATGGAGTCCGTTGTTCTCGATCTGTCCCTTCAACCACTGGATGTCCTCTGCCGACGCCGAGATCTGCTCCTCATGTCTAGCAACGTACAAGCCACTGCCAGCGTTAGAGGCAACACGGTCGGCGGAAGTAGGGCATGAACAGGAAGCGGTAGATGATGGCGAAGAAAGAGAGGAGAAGAGAAAGAAGAAGAGGGCTGCAGCTGCAGCAGCGGCTAGAACGAGTACCGGCACTGATATCTGCACCCCTTTAGATGATGCCAGCAGAGCCATAGTCGTGGAGAAGATCGATCCCCGTCTTCTACAGTTCTATCGAACATCACATCCGCATCGGAGTGTCCTCCCGCTGTGATGCGCATCGAGACCTAGGTCTTTGTTTAGTTTATAGGCTTCATTTTTGGTGGCGAGAAAGACCAAAATGACCCCCAAAATGGTCATGTCGGTTTGCTATAACCCAATCGAATGATACCAAATCAAATTAAGGGTCTGTTTGCAACAGCTTCTGCTTTTAAAAAAGTGCTTTTTTTTAATGAAATGGGGAGAAGTGATTAAATAAAAGTTTATAGTGTTTGAGAAAAAAGTGATTTTAAAAAGTAAAAGTGGGTAGTGTTTGGTAAAATAAGTGCTTTTTGTGTAATAGAAAAAGTAAAAGCACTTTTGACGCGGAAGCCGAGAAAAATAAAAGTTGTAGTGTTTGGGAAAATAAGTGTTTTTTTAAAGCCAAAAGCTGAGAAGTGCTTTTTTAGAAGCAGTTGCAAACCAACCCTAAATTGATTTACGTTTGATTTAAATTAAAATTTGATTTAAGTTTGGTACTATTTTCTCAAAAATATATTAAATCAAATCGAACCAAAATTGATAAAAATTGAACAAAAGCGAATCAAACAAATGAAATTAATAAAAACTTCATATATTACAAATAAAAAATCCAAATCAAATCAAATTAAATCAAACCAAATCAAAACAAAAAATAGTATGATTTTTATTTGGTAATAATTCTTTCAACCAATTTCAAACCTAATCGAAAACTGACATGCCTAGGAAAATGTACATATTTTGTCTAATTTGAGATTACATCTAAAACAAATAAATCTCAAACAAAAAAGCTAATTGTACAGTTGTACACTCAGGAGTACCCTTTAAAGAGTCCAATTTTGTTTTAACATCCCTCATCATCTAGATTCATACTCCGTACTAAAATCCTCTCATTGTTTTTTTATCTTCATTGTTTTTCTTTCTCTCCTCTTTCCACCTCTCCTAATATTTCCTTTTCCCTACCATTCACAATATATTTTCGCCATCATCTTCACCTTTACCATCTTTTCGTATCGGAACAATTAAATGAAGATTGAGTCGTCAGAAACTTGCCGGAGAATCAGAGATGAAAAGTCACCGCAATTTTATTGAAGTATAGGAGAAACTTGTCGGAGAATAAGAGAAGCTTAAGATTTATTTTGCCCTTTCCATGAACCTTGGTTGTTCTAGAATCACCAAGGTGCACATATTCTTCTTCATCCCCTATTGAAGTATAGGAGGAAAATAAACTTTTATCCTGGCAAATATGTCTAGTAGCTTCGGAATCTACTACCCATTCTTTCACATCCGCCACTAAACAAGCTTGTGAGACAACCACAATAATTATATCATCACCTTCAACCAAGTTTGCACTTGATTTAGGTGGATTGTTGTTTCTCACAGTTGCCCTTTTTCTACACTGAGCCGCATGGTGACCAGATTTCCCGCAAACAAAACAATCTCCCTTCCTTTTAAAGTTGGTAGTGTGTTTGGACTTATTGTAATTAGGCCTATAGTTATTATTATTATTATTAGCGTACCTCATTTTATTTTCAGTTTCCACAAGGTTAGCATTTGATGTGAATTCTCTTGCTTGAGCTTTGGAGCTCTCCCTCCTATTAGTATCTTCAATGATGATGCGAGTGACAACATCATTGAAACTCATCGGCCCAAACTTATGCTTAAGATCCCGTTTGTAATCCTTCCAAGACTCCGGCAACTTTTCAATTAGGATTCCGGCGATGAAGGGTTCTGGCAACTCAATTTGTACTCCTTTAAGATCCTCCAAGAGCGTTTGATACTCGTGGATTTGCGTTGTGATGTCCCTACCATCCTGCATCTCCCATTTGTAATAGTTTCCTATTACAAATTTTTGCTTCACGGCATGCTCAGCCGTATACTTTGCAATCATGGAGTCCCAAATATCTTTTGCCACTTTGTTGGTGCAGTACACATAAAAAAGCTCGTTAGATAACGTACTAAGAATGGTGTGATGACAAACCTTATTTGCATGAGTAAATTGTTGAAGTTGCTTGATGGATTCGTTAGATTTTCCATCTGGCATGGTGTCTGTGAGTGCATTGGCAACCCCATGCACATCAAGCGTAAAGTAGATCCGTTCCTGCCACCTTTTGAAATTGGGTCCGGAAAAAACTTCAATTTTAGATATATCTGGAAAAGGCTTCGCATGGATAGGTGAGGCATGGAGTTGCATGGCGTGGAGCTGCGTGGATATCTCGTGAGCAGCGGATTGGGAGACTGCAGAAGTCTTCCCTGCAGAAGTGTCGGGGATGGAAATGAACTCATGGGCAGGTTGTTCCGACGACATAATACTTTCTTGAGATTGTTGGATAACTTCGTCCGGATAAACCTGCAAAAATTGTTAGAGAAATAAAATAGCTCGAGTCGCGTGAACGTTGTCCTCAAGAAAGTATTTTCGACTAGCGAAAACCTTTCCCCAAGATAAAACGAGCTCTTCGACAGATGCCGGTAACAGAACAACGAGAATATAAAATATTAATCCAGCAAAGAACAAAAGTGGGGACTGTTTCGAATACTCCAAACTGAAACATGAGAGTATGATTCAACAACAACATCCAAGCCTTAGTCCCAAACGATATTGGGTCGGCTAACATGAATCGATATATGATATCACCAAAAGGAAAAGAACGAAAATAAAGATAAAAAAGATAAGCTATTATAAAAAAGATAATATAAAAGAGATGAATCATGAGAGTATGATTATATAGAAAAATTATCGTCATTGCTGCCATGTTAGAAAACGTTTCTCAATTAATGTTTGGATTAATTATTAATATAAAACGTTACTGTTAAAACATTAATGTTTGGGATAGACTAAAAGGCTCCAACATTAAAAACTCTTGAGTGTAAATGCCCATGCGTTTGAAATAATAAGCACATCATGGAGGCTCAATAATTTTAATAATAATGAGCACTATCTTCTTAGAACCCATTTAGAAATCAAACGTTTTAGAAAATTGATAGCAAGCTAGTAAAAATTATAATAATGGTTCCAACCATGCAGCCAATATTATGCTCCGTATACGTACATAATATAATAGTAAATTATATCTTATTCATTTGAAATAATTCTATTTTTTCCAACATTTTTGCAGCGTCAGTGTTCACAAAAAAGAAATGTTGTGTGGAGGTAAGGGTCAGATTACACGGAAACCAATGTTTATGTGCACATGCAAAAAAAAGTTCAAGAACAAACAGTTTTTGTCAAACAATTATGTGTGCGTGCGCGCGTGTGTGTGTGTGTGTGTGTGTGTGTGTGTGTGTGTGTGTGTCTGAGCTCTATAAAATGTCATTGGCTAATTTGGACTTTCTCCCTTAAAAAATTTAAGAGTGAACACATTATGAAAAGTTTGGGTCATGTTTTATTCATAGTAATTGCTCTTAATAGATCTAAAAGTTTATCAAAGCCCATAAATAGGACTATATGTTTATAATTTCCTAAATATGACTTATTTGATCCTATTAAAAGAATAAAACTTATTAATTAGCGGTCCATGAGTGTCTTATTTTTTGAAAGAAACAATAGTGGTTGTATTTGTGCACTTTGTCAATGTTTTAATATAATTTAAGAAATCTACTCTTTATTTTTTCTTTCAAACTTTTTGAAGTAAAACTTACAAAGACTTTTTAAACAATCACTAATACTTTGTCTAAAAATATGATCAATAATACTACTATCAAAAAAGCGATAGAGCTAGGTATAGGCCCAAAATTTTGGTGCATTATATTGATTTCAAGCAGAATTGGTTGTTCCCCATGGTTGCTTAATGTTTGATTGAATGCTCCAGGTTTCCTGCTTCCTTTGAAGGAGGCAGCGATGGCTTGCACGATGTGGAATGAACTTGTTTCAACGTAAGTATGAGAGTTTTTTCCCAGAATAATGCTAAATCTCTACAATCTTATAAAGGTGAATGAGGGTTACAGTCCTTTTGGGGATACAAATTTGTTGGTGGAATACTCAAAGCATAAAGTTGTTGTACATTGTCCTTTTAGCATTGTCCACCCTAAGTATACCCTTCGCTTACCATCCTAATGCCGTTAACTTGGTATTCGATCATGTGTGTCCCTCCGTCTACCTGCTCATTTAAGCCAGACGAACATGTATTGGCTACACACGATAAGGGCTGAGGCCGTCCGCTATGTTTAGCCGCGATCGGCAAGAGGTGGACTATCCAGGTTAACTATCCTATTTCCCTTTGTGAGTGTAATTCAATGATGTGGCTCATTCTTCATTTGGTACTTCTGCCTTGCTATTCACCCTTCTTTCTTTTCATCAGCAATTGATGTCAGAAATTGATCCCTGATGGTGTGAAAGGGGAAGCGTTGCCTACGTTTAGAATATATTGCCCCAATTTGCAACAAAGAACCACCAAACTCATCTGCACCTTTAAGAGTGAGTTGTTTGTCCTCTTCAAGTTGTGCATATCATATACTTCGACTGTACATGTGCTGCTTAAATTACCATATATTAAACTGGAATGGATTTATGGATTTCAACTCTTTAAAGAAGTAGTTTTTACTCCCTGGTTTCTTGCACTTGCTTTTAATTTTAATATATACAGCTTCAAGACGTGTGTAATTTCTCTGGTTATTGGGTAAATACAACTTAAGGAGGTATGCAATTTTATCTCATTTTTTGATTTTAGTTTTGACCATTTTTTTCCAGCTCATAACCTTTCACATGAAAGGTAACAAACTATGTCTCAACAATTTATACATGTGAACAACATCGGTTATACGAATAGGTCATAAGAATTTCATGAAATGTGCATCAAATTAGATTTTACACTTACCTTACCTTTTTTAGTCTCTGGTTTCCAGCATTTGCTTTTTATTAACAAACAGAACTACAAATAATGTGTGATTTATTGTTTAATGACTTTATCTTATCCCTTTTATCTTACCTTTTGAGTCTGCAAACTTAATCTCATTTAGAAAGCCTTATTTATATATGTCCTTCAGCAACTAAGCTGGAAGTGGTTTAACAAAGGCCTTTAGAATCAGAAATTCAGAATTGCTTGCCCAACAAAAATGGCCCTGACCGTAAGGAAAAAACAACGAAACAGAAATGCAGTGTATGTAAATATTTTTGCTCCATGTTTTTGGGAACTGCCCACACCCACTATTATAATGTCACTGCCACTGTGGGACTTCTAGATTCTCTTTTGTTACAGTACTCTTACTTCTTGAGGCTATAATGATGATATTCACTTTCTTTACAAAATAATAAGCATGAATGAGGGTAAGCCTATTTTTGGCATTAAAAATTTGTTGGTGGTATTGAAATGCTAGCTTCACATGTACGGCATGCTTGCGTCCTTATACCTCGTACAACCTTATTACATCTGAATAACCAAACGGCATCTCTCAGTTGTTAGTATAACCACACACACCAGCCGAACCGGCTATGCCTCAGTCGATTAGGACTCTATTCGGCCGCACACATCCGCCTTCACGCAATTGTTCGGTCCCTTCGTTTTCTCTGTAAGTCCTTATTTCCATTTTTTATGGTTATGATTATTTCATTTTAAAAAGGAGCTTTAATTCCATATGCTGATCAAACCAACAACCCCTTCAAGTTACGGAAATCGGAAGCAGCCCATCTCCGAGGCCTGGGGTCTCTAAAGTAGTTCAGGGAGGTTGCCATTATGGCTTTATTGGCATAGTAGGATGCATCCTCAGGTCGCCGTCGAATGTCGCATGTGCAACTCCACCACGCCTCCATCTACTCTAGATCCCAAGTTTTTAACTTCGCCTGTTCAGCCTTAGCTCCCATTTTTTGTTTTACTTAATTTGCTTTTGCATAGGGGTAAGAATGCGTACATCCGAACCCCTCTTACCTCACCATAGGTGGGAGCCTTTGCGGCACTGGGTAAATGAAAATGATGAAATGATTTAATTTGCTTTTGTAGACAGCTGGACTTCGTCTTGTTTTATTAAAAATGTTACTCATTGTTCTTACATTAAACTGTTTTATGTATTTTTTCTTTTATTACTCTTGTTTTTATTTCTTGTACAACTCGAGATAGCCTGGAGTCCATTTGTCAAATCTTTCAATCATACATTCATAGCTTAAAGAGATTAATTATGTAAATATAGACATCTATAGGCCTCAGTATATGTTGAGGGTAATAGTATCTTCAAGCGTATTCATGTTCTAAAATCACATATATAAACATCTAAATTTGAAAATGCTAATATGAGGTTACATGGCAGACTTATGAGTTTTGAAAGAAAAAATGATTGAAAAAGCACAATAAAAGTCTGAACTGTCTAATCATTATGATTTTCCCTAGATACACTTCACTTCCATTTTTTTGAAACCCAATTTTTTTACCTCCTTTTATCAGTTGCCACAAATGTATGTGTAGTTATTATATTGCAAACGATGAAAGCTTTCAGCTAGGGATAAGGCAGTAAATTGCTGAGGGGTGCAAGAAGTGAAGAGTATAATGTCGTATGTATGGGCGGGAGAAGCAGGATTTTTTTTTAATTTTTTTTTAAGCAAACGATTTTATTCATAAAATTACGAAATTACAGTACAATAAGATAACTAAATAAAAAAACGAAACGTACAAGGAAAACAAAAGAAAATAACTAGGCCCAAGGAAAATCTCTGGATTGTGATCTGGTCCTCATGCTATGGCGCTGATGGAAGTAAATCCACCGGAAAATAATTAATAAGAGATAGCCGAAAATAATTAAAGTGCTCAGGATAATCTTTAGAGAGATAAATGTATGTAGTGTATTCAGTGTATTGAGCTTGATTCACTTTCTAAAGATTACATGATTTTATAGTAGAAAATAAGACATAAAAGATTCGGGCGACATGGTCGCCATGTTCGAATTGATATGCAGATCAATAATCCGGATCCGCGGAATCCTTTGTTGATTGTGTGAATATCTTGAAAAGACGTCGTTGATGTAGTTTGTCGTACGGAGTCGCCATGTAGCTTTTGCCATGATGTCGAGAGACACCATGTATATATTATTTGGATGAGCTTCTACTACTATGTCCAGGGTCGCCGTGGACATTTCTTTATATAAGCTCGTCATGGCATCCAAGGCTATAGTGCACTCTGGTCTTCTACTCGCGTCCATGGTTGCTGTGGACGTGCTCTTTGGATAAGCTTGCCATGACATCCACGGTTACTCCGTACTCCCTATTCTTCTACTAATTCTTGTCCACAGTCGCCATGCACAATCTCTTATCTTCTAACCCGTGCGTGGTCACCACGTATGAGCTCCCCTTATACCTTATCATCATCCGTACATAGTTACCTTGCACATCAACCTTTAACATGTTTTCATCTATGTTAACCCGGTCAATATTTATCTATGGTTAGGATAATTATACCATCACAAGCCCCCCACTCCTTTAGCCAAATAACATATTGGCTATAGGGAGTATAGCGACACAGTTGCCGTGGCTATAGGAGTACACGGTCACCATGTCAATCTTTGTTTTTGTTTTTACCCATTCAATCATTGAGATTTTTATTTTTATTTTTAACCAAAATGGGTATTTTATATTCTCAAATTTAGCTTCTTCCTGGCAGCTTCGTTGGTGAGGGTCGGCACCACCATAGTTGTACTGCCCAGGTCGCAGTTCGCCGGCAACCAAACCACTGCTCTCCGCCGACCGTCGGCGTCCATTCGCGCAACCAACCAGCCCACCTAAGGTTCCCGTCTGCCGTCGCCCTTCATCAACTTTCATCGGCCGCCGCGAGCAAGAGAGACATTCCAACTCCACCGCCGCAGCGACCTTGAACCTCTGTAGCTAAACCCAGCACCGTCACCAGTTGTCCTTATTTCAGTTCGCTGCTCATCTTCTTCGTTGCTTCGTCTTAGTCGCCGCCCCTGTGTAGTCTAGGCCGCAAGCGTTTTTGGGTGAGGAGTACTGCCGCCGTTGGACGTCGGGCTTCCGTTGCCGGACCCCAGAGCACTTCGGTGATATCAAGGATCGCTCGCCACTGCCGTCTACTGCCTGTGCCGTTGCCGTTCTTCCCTGGGTGCGGATCCAAGACTTCCAATTCAGCCGCCTCCGCTTGCAAGGGTACGCAGGGATAGCCGGATAGGTACGCTCCTTGCCTTCTCTTTCTTTTCTTTTAGTTTTATTAGCTGCTTGTATTTTGACTTCCTGCTTTGACCGTGGCTCCTTTGGAGTTTATCACTATGTAGGAGTATTAAATTTGCTTTGACCATAGCTGCCTCGGCTATACACCTTGTGATTATTGATTTTAGTGACATTTTTTTTGCAGCTACTGTTGTCCATCTCCGAGGTGAACCGAAGGAAAGATGAGCGTGAGCAAGAGTTGTCGCTACAACTCACCGGATTAGCGAAAGAGGTGGCATCGCTCAAGCTCAGTCGTGACTCACAAGTCACATGCAGCCGAGGTCGCTGCGCTTAAAGAAATACACGCCGTGGAGTTGGCCAATGCAAGGGGGCGGGCCGTGGATGCATACAAGAATTCTCCAGAGTTCGTGTCTGATCAGGAAGCTTACATTAATGCCCACTTGAACGATATTAGCAAGCATTGGTTGTCTACTCCGGATGGCCGTGAGAAACTGGCCTTAGAGAGCTACATCTCCTACCAGATCGGGATATATGCCACTCAACAAAAAATATATCCTATCCTGAGGAATAAGGCTGGTACCTCTTGCATCACTGATTGGGGACTTCCTCCTGAGGTTCCCAACCCTGAGATCCCGGTAGCCAACACGCCCCTGGACTACATTCCCTTTGACAGACTCCCCACTGATGAGGAGCTTGGCGATCTCCCTTCCAAGACAGATCACCCAGCTTCGACCGCTTCTGTACCTTAGAGCATGCATGGGAGTGACGGATGGACGTAGTGTAGACTTTTAATTCCGTCATGTCTTCCATCACGAGTGCCTGTATTGCTAAACATGTTTTTAATTTCATGAAATAATAATGACGCATGTCTTATTTTTCCTTTCGTTATTGTTTAATATTATCGCATAATCCATTATTTGACTAATATTTTGATTTTATGAGATCACACTGCGACCATGCCTCGTTTGGCACGGTTTGCATGATCACTTATAGTAGTATACGGTGATACTACACCAAGTGTAAAACTTTGGTGCATTTATCACCCCATATCTGCCTAATTTTGAATTGAGGCATTTTGTATTTATATAGAGTGACTAAGGACAACGATAGGCACAAGGTGTCGTTGACACCTCCTCCTTCGCTACATTGCGCGCATCACTTAGCCCCAAAAAGTAGGACTAAGTGAGCGAACCTAACACTTGAGTGACCTAGGCTTGCTCTGGGGCACACAACGTTTTTTGGGAAACATGGCCGCTATCCGATAAATTTCACAGATGCATCCTGACCATACAACCCTGAGGGTTACGCATTTGTTGGGATCGATTTGCGATGTATCCTCGTCCCCTTTCTAGGGGCGAGTCTATACCCCTTGCATGTTGAGAATTTCAGCTATGTCATAGGAGACATGCCTGGCTACTTACTAGTTTTTTATTTCATTTTTTTTTTTGTTTTGGGTGAGTTTTACACCCACGGTGTCCTTGGATGACACCTTGTAATTTGTTTTTGTTTTGGGTGAGTTTGACACCCACGGTGTCCTTGGACGACACCATGTTTTTTTTTTTTTTTTTTTTTTTTTTTTTTGCGGCCAGGGACTGCCATTATTCACTCTTGTGTGGATCAAGGAGATCTCTTATTTGAAAACAGTGGATGGAAAAGGACCGCGTTTACCACCATACGTGGTTACCATACATCATAATCGTCAGGTGGAGTATCAATGATAAATTTTCAATGGTAAAACTTGAGCAAGTGTTCTGCATTCCAAGTCCTCTCAATTTCTTTTCCCTTCGGCGTCTGAAGTTTGAACGTCCCTGGACGGATCACTGATTTAATCACGTAAGGGCCTTCATAATTTTTGGCAAATTTCCCCCCTTCCAAGGGTTTGCTGACCTCCCTTTTTCTCAAGACATAGTCCCCAACTTCAAAGTTGCGTTTGCGAACTCGAGAATCATGGTATCCCTTCACCTGCCTTCTATAGTTCTCCGCACGGCAGAAAGCCGCTTCTCTTCTTTCTTCAATAAAAAGAAGCTCGGTCGCCATGACCTCCTCGTTCGTCTCGGGGTCATATTCCTCTTCTCGGCGGCTATGGAGAATTACTTCCGCAGGTGCCCTCGCCTCGAAACCATATGTCAAGGAGAATGGTGTCTCCCCTGTGGCCTTTCTTGGTGTGGTCCTGTATGCCCAGAGTATCAGTGGTAGTTCTTCAGCCCACTCCCCTCCGGCAGCTTCCAGCTTTTTCTTCAAACCGTCCATGATCGTGCGGTTTGCATTCTCCACTTGGCCATTCGCTTGGGGATAGACAACTGACGCATTACTGTGTTTGATCCCCCAACTCTCACAGAATTCGTTAAACCCGGATGCTCCGAATTGCCTCCCATTATCGGTTATGATCTGTTGGGGTACTCCAAAGCGACAAAGGATGTGCTTCATGACAAATTTTCTGCATTGCCCTTCAGTGATGCTTGCTAGGGGTACTGCTTCTATCCATTTAGTAAAATAGTCTATGGCAACGATAACCCATCTCACGCTCCCTGTTCCCCTTGGTAAGGCACCAATGAGATCTATCCTCCACCGTGCAAAAGGTATAGCCGTGCTAATGGGGGTGTAGTTGGTGGCTAGACGTCCCGGAGATTTCTGGAACTCTTGACACACCACACACCTCTTGACAAATTCAGCGCAATCCTTAACTATGGTTGGCCAGAAGAAACCTTGTAGGATTACCTTTCGGGGCATGGTGTGTGCTCCTTGGTGAGCTGAGCATATCCCTGCATGTATCTCTTCCATGGCAACCTTGGCTTCATCTGGTCGTAAGCACTTGAGAAGCGTGCCATTGTAAGACCTCTTGTACAGTTTCTCATTCAAAATGGTATAACTCGGCGCCCTCATCTTAGTCACCTTGGCTTCAACCTCCTCCGCGGGCAGCACTCCCTCGTTGATATACTTGATGAGGCAGTCAATCCAGTCCGCGTCCCTCGTGGTTATGGCCTGGACAGGGCACGCATATATGCTGGAAGTGTCCAACTCTTCTATCCTTGCAATCTTTGAAATCCTTTCCGGTGTCTCTGCACTTAATTTGGATAACATGTCTGCTTCGACATTTTGCGCTCTTGGTATCTGTTCAATTTCATAGGCGATGAACAATTTCAGAAGTTCCAGGGCAGCGTCACGATATAGCCGCATCCGTTCTTCCTTCGCCTCAAACTCAGTCGTGATCTGTCCAACCACTAGTTTTGAATCACACCGTATCCTGACCTTCTCCGCCCTCATGTTCGCCGCCAAGCGTAGACCACATAGTAGAGCCTCGTACTCTGCCTCATTATTCGACACCTTGAAGTTGAACCGAATAGCGTAATAGGCCCTGAAGCCTTCGGGCGTGGTGAGGACCACCCCTCCCCCACAAGATTTGGCCGCGGAGGAGCCATCCGTGGACAATATCCACCACTCTTGTTCATCGTCACCATGCTTCATCTTCGTTGCTTCTTCCCGCGCTGTGCATTCTACTATGAAATCTGCAAGAGCTTGCCCCTTGATGGAAGGTCTTGGCTTCACCTCTATATAAAATTGACTTAGATACACTGCCCATTTGACCATCCTCGAGGAAGCCGTGGGACTTCTCATTAAGGCACCCAGGGGTTGGTGTGACAGTACATGGACAGGGTGAGCTTGGAAGTATTGTGTGAGCCGTTTGACCGTCCACACCACGGATAGAACAGTTTTTTCTATGGTTGTGTACCGTAGCTCAGCGTCCCTCAAAGTTTTTGCTTACGTAGTAAACGGGTCTCTGGACGCCACCATCTTCACGCACCAGGACAGAACTAATTGCACTTGGTGAAACCCCTAGGTATAGGTATAATGTCTCCCCCGCCTCAGGTTTGGACAAGACAGGAGGAGACAAGAGGTAGTTTTTCAATCCCTCGAATGACTTTTGGCACTCCTCAGTCCATACGAACCCCTTTGATTTCTTCATGATGTGGAAGAAAGGCGTGGCTTTCTCTGCTAGTTTTGATAAGAAGCGGTTCAAAGCCGCTAAGCGTCCCGTCAATCGCTGCACTTCTTTGACATTACGAGGAGGTTCCATTTCGAGAATGGCCTTGACTTTCTCCGGATTTGGCTCGATTCCTCTTCTGCTTACCAAGTAACCCAGGAACTTCCCTCCCTGCACGGCGAACGTGCACTTCTTTGGATTGAGACGAAGATTGAACTTCTCCATGATTTTGAACACCTCTGCCAAATCCACGGCATGCGTACCTGCTCTTTTACTCTTCACAATCATATCATCCACGTAGGCCTCCATGGTGCGGCCTAGGACAGGTCGAAAAAGTTTAGAGATCATGCGAGTGTACGTTGCCCCAGAGTTTTTCAGTCCAAACGCCATGACTAAGTAACAGAAAATACCCTCTGGAGTCATGAATGAGGTTTTCTCCGCATCCTCCTCATGCATGCGAATTTGGTGGTATCCACTGAAAGCATCCATGAAACTCATCAACTCGCACCCTGCTGTCTCGTCCACCAATTGGTCGATGTTAGGCAATGGGAATGGATCCATCGGGCATGCTTTGTTCAGGTCAGTGTAATCAACACACATCCTCCATGTTGGGGGTTTAGGTGCCAATACCACGTTTGCCAACCATTCTGGGTATTTTACCTCCTTGATGTGGCCGATCTTTAACAAGGTGCCCACTTCTTTCCTCACGAACTCCTGCCTGTCCGAGGACATGTAACGTTTCTTTTGTTTCACCGGTTTTGACGCAGCGTTTACGTCTAGGCGATGAGAGATGACATCTCTATTGATGCCTGGCATGTCCTCTGGTCCTCTTGCAAATACACCTTGGTACATAGTCAGGACGGCTATGATCTCAGCACGGAGCTCAGCCGACAATCCAGTGCCTATCTTAACCGTGCGCTCTGGGATTGCAGGGTCAAGGGTGACCTCTTCTGTCCCTTCTGCTGGTTCTGCACGGGGTCTTCGCTCTTCATCTTGTAGGTATTGTGTGGCCACAGTGTTTACCTGGAGGCCATGCCGCCCCACCTTCTTTGTGATTTTTATGTAGCATGTTCGGGCGAGCTTCTGGCTCCCGCGTGCTATCCCCACTCCGGTTGGTGTTGGGAACTTAATACAAAGATGTGCCGGGGACACAATGCACTGCAAATCTTCCAGGCCTGGCCGTCCGAGTATAAGATTATGTGCACATGTCAGTCGGACAACTACGAACTCCATGTTGAGTTTCACTTTATGGGATGTGTCCCCCACCTCTACCGGGACCGTGACAACTCCCTCTGCCTCGATAGAGTCACCCGTGAACCCAGATAACGGGGTTTTTATCGGATGGAGTTTTCCTTTGGACAACTTCAGTTTCTCGAAAGTGTCGAGGTACATTATGTTAACGGAACTTCCAGTGTCGACCAGGGTACGGTGTATGACAAGATCATTGATCTCCATTTTGATAACCATGGCATCCCGATGTGGGCTTGGACATGGTGGTAGGTCATCATCAGTAAAGCATATAGGTTCACGTCATACCTTCTTTTTCATTGGAGAGTGCATGATCTCACCAATGTACAGTTGACGAGCCCATTTCTTTCGAAGGGACGAAGAGTCCCCGCCTGCATTACCTCCATAAGTGAAATTGATGTCATGGTTCCTCTTATCTCGCTTCGGCCCTGGCTCATCCGAGGCATCCTCGTCACTCTCATTTCCAATGTGTCTTTTCTCTGCCCTTCGGGTCTCCGGTTGCGTGCATGCCACTTGTTCTGATGATTTCCGCCATACATGGTTGGGCTGCTGTGCAGCCCCTTTGACAAAGTTACTCAGATGGCCTCTTTGGATCAGTCTTTCAATCTCGCGTTTCAAGGTAAAGCACTCCTCCGTGTCGTGATTATCCACCCGGTGATAGCGACAATACTTTTTAGCACCAGAGACAGCGTACACTTCACCCTCCGGCCTTGGCCCTTGCATGAGACCCGTACGCTCGGCATAGTCCAAGATCGTACCCACAGGATGAGTTAGAGGCATTTGGCTTGCATTAGAAATCTGCCTTGGACCATAATTGAAATCTTTCTTGTTTTTCTTTTGTTTCTTGTGGTGAGGGGTAGACCCCTCCCTCCAAGGTTCCGATGACTCATCCTTTTTCTTTTGCACCTCTCGGATCTCCGCATCGGCGTATCGGTCTGCTCTTTGAAGGGCCGCCTGGTACGACCTTGGCGGGTCTCGGATGAGACTTGAGGCGAACTCCCCAGCCCGCAACGCTGCCTGGAACATGGCAAGGCGAGTTTGGTCGTCCGCCCCATGCACGGCAGAAGACTCCTTCCTCCACCGTATCACGAAATCTTTCAAGTCCTCACCCTTCTTCTGCTTCACGGTCAGGAGGTGTGAGTAGTGTTGCTTGGTTCTTTTGCTAGCGGCAAAGTGTTGAAGAAACCTTTGCGCTAAGTCCTCCCATTCATCTATCGACCCATGGAGGAGAGAATTGAACCACTCACACGCAGTTCCCTCCAACGTAGCTAGGAAACATCGGCAAATTATTTCCTCTGATGCCCCAATCATAATCATATTAGCATAATAACGTGACAAATGTTCCTGGGGATCTGAGGTTCCCGAATAGGCCTTGACATGGGGCGCTTTGAAGCCAACTGGTAACGGGTATGCCATGATCTGCGTAGTGAACGGGGTCACCGTTTTTAGTTTAGCGTCTGTGTTTCCATCTCCTGCATCTACCCGTCGCTGCAGGTCCTCAATTTTTCTCCATAGCTTCCTCACCTCCATGTCATTTAGATCAATCTTGGTTCTGTCTGCTTGAATCGTCACACGTTTCCTGCCACCGTCCTCTACTTCTGCGTTCCTCGGTTTTTGTGAACGTATTTCAGTCCCGCCGACATGCTCAGTCATGTGTCCAAGTGAATGGTGACTGGTAGTCATATGGGTGACTTTGGGAGCTTGCACGCGCTCCTCTTCGCCGTGGTCATGTCGTCCACGGTGGTTTTGTGTATCCCTTTCTTTATCGACATGGTGCGATCGTCCGAGACGGTCTTTAGCAGAGCGTCGTCGGTCTCCCAATCTACTAAACACCGAGGCTTCACTTCAAGCTGGTTGGTTCGAAGAGACAGGGACTCCTCGTCCCTCTCTTCTCTCTCCATTTTTTTGAGATGGCGCCGGTGATGTCACCTCCACCTCCACCGCCGGATGATTAGTCGGAACTTGAGTTCCGTGTGGTTGAGGAGGCTTTTGATGAGTGCTAGGAATTGCACGGCGTACGTCCTTCGCAAGAGTACCCAACATCTTGGTCATCCCTAGGATGGCACCATGGACATCAGGCACTTCTACGGGAACCACCGCAGGGCGGCTAAGTCGGTTACGCAGGTCTTGACCCGATGAGTTGGACGCAGTGTGTCCATCGGCGGGTACATCCTTCTCCGCCCTTGTAGTAGCCATTGTTACAACGTTGAGATAGCCTGAGTGTATTTTCAGCTCTCAATGAAAGCACCAAAATGATGGAAGTAAATCCACCGGAAAATAATTAATAAGAGATAGCCGAAAATAATTAAAGTGCTCAGGATAATCTTTAGAGAGATAAATGTATGTAGTGTATTCAGTGTCTTGAGCTTGATTCACTTTCTAAAGATTACATGATTTTATAGTAGAAAATAAGACATAAAAGATTCGGGCGACATGGTCGCCATGTTCGAATTGATATGCAGATCAATAATCCGGATCCGCAGAATCCTTTGTTGATTGTGTGAATATCTTGAAAAGACGTCGTTGATGTAGTTTGTCGTACGGAGTCGCCATGTAGCTTTTGCCATGATGTCGAGAGACACCATGTATATATTATTTGGATGAGCTTCTACTACTATGTCCAGGGTCGCCGTGGACATTTCTTTATATAAGCTCGTCATGGCATCCAAGGCTATAGTGCACTCTGGTCTTCTACTCGCGTCCATGGTTGCTGTGGACGTGCTCTTTGGATAAGCTTGCCATGACATCCACGGTTACTCCGTACTCCCTATTCTTCTACTAATTCTTGTCCACAGTCGCCATGCACAATCTCTTATCTTCTAACCCGTGCGTGGTCACCACGTATGAGCTCCCCTTATACCTTATCATCATCCGTACATAGTTACCTTGCACATCAACCTTTAACATGTTTTCATCTATGTTAACCCGGTCAATATTTATCTATGGTTAGGATAATTATACCATCAGGCGCTTTTTATTCTTTTGAGATTTCTTGTAGATTTTTAGTTGCGTGTTCAGACTGCAAGTCTGGCTAGGTACTTTCATGTTGTATTCCATGTGACAAGTATAATGTCGTATGTACTTCAGTAGCACTATGTTAATTCATACACACACTAATAATAGCACTTTTATTTTTACATTAAGTCTGGTTCATTACTTAAAATGGTTATGGAATACATCAACATGTCCTTATTTCTATCCCTTTGTTAATGTTTTTTAAATACTTCTTCCCCATCCATGTTCACTCTAAGGTACATTTCTGTCCATATAAGAATCTATTGTAGCAAAAAAAAAGAGTACAGGGCAAATTACAGGGCTGGTTTTTGGGTTGGTTTTTAGGCAATGACTTTGTTGATATGCGAGCAACGTTTTTATTATGAGTAGTAGGTTAACCTTACAAAACAATATGGTACTATGATTTCTTCATTGTATATTAATATTTTCTTCCACCTTCATGCACAAATTGATAAAATAGCACCTTTTGAGCCTGGAAACTCAATCTCATTTAGAAAGCCTTATTTCTATTTGTCCTTCAGCAACTAAGTTTGGAAGTGGTTTAACAAAGGCCTTTAGAATCAGAATTGCTTGCCCAACAAAAATGGCCCTGACCGTAAGAAAGAAACAATGAAACAAAAACGCAGTGTATGTAAATATTTTTGCTCCATTATTTTGGGAGCTGCCCACGTCCACTATTATATTGTCACTGCCACAGTGGGACTTCTAGATTCTCTTTTGTTACGGTACTCTTACTTCTCGAGGCTATGTTTCAACCTTACCCATAAGTTGACGACATAAATGCCCACAAGCATCTTTGCATCCATGGTGGTGTTTGAACAACCTTTAATTTGTAGTTTGTCCAGGCCATTACCTATATTAGAGTGTTGATGCTATTATTTTGAGTGACCTAAATGTGCATTAAAGTTAATATAGGCCTGTAAAGTTATTTCACCGTTCATAGAGTTAAAGTAATTTTATAAAGTAGTTAACCTGATACTAATGAAAAAGTAGTTTACATTTGTTGTTTTTAAAACTATGAGCGGTTGTTCCAAAAAAAACTATAAGCGGTCTTTTAGTAAACGTACAAGTAATAATTTAGAGAAAAGTTAATGAGATTAATCGCGATAAAACAGAGCAATGGGGACTACCTAAAGTAGTTTTCAAACATGCTAAATAGTAAAGGCAACAGGAAAGTGAATTATACTACCCAGAGCGATATCTCATATATACGAGACTTTGGGAGTCTAAAAGCCAGTCTACATATATACGGGAGTCTAGAAGTCATTGGCCACTAACCAATCTATGTAGAAGTCTCCTAAAATTAGTGTTTTGCGGTGGAAAACATTAAAAATTAAAGATCAACTAGAACCATTACAAATACCATGCATGCACAAACAGAACTTTCTAAATTAGTCACTTTGGTCGATATTCTCCTTAAGATCTGTAAACTT